TTCATTTCAAACGGGCCTGATCCGGCCCGCGGGCCGTAGTTTGCCCACGGCTGACCTAGACAGTGCCACCACCGCTCTGGTCCTGGCTACATCATCCCTTCTGAGCACAGGAACTACAGCAGTCCTGTCAAAATCTAAGTCAGCCCTAGCCGGCTTGGCTCAGTGGATAGAGCGTCAGCCTACGGACTGAAGGGTCCCAGGTTCGATTCTGGTCGAGGGCACATGCCCGGTTGCGGGCTGGATCCCCAGTAGGGGGCTTGCAGGAGACAGCCAATTGATGATTCTCACTCATCATTGATGTTTCTATCCCTCTCTCTCTGAAATCAATAAAAAATATATTTAAAAAAATCTAAGTCAAACCGTGTCCCTCCTCGGCTCAAAGTCCTCCCATGGTCCCCACATCACTCAGATCAAGTTTTAATAATAGCCCGCAGGGCCCAACAACATCTGGACCCACCAGCTCTCTGATCTCATCTCTTCCTACTTGCCCCCCTGATGGATTTCATGTCAGCCACATGGTTTTTTTTGCTTGCTGCCAGGCATGTTCCCACCTCTGGGCCTTTGCAATCGCTGTTCCCTCTGCCTGGGATGCTCTTCCCTAGGCGTCCACATGACCCACTCCTCCTTTCCTTCAGGTCTTTGCTCAAATGCCACCTCTTGGACAGGTCTTCCTGGAACACCCCATCTGACCCTGCAGCCTTCCCCCTGGCGCTCCCCATCTCCTGGCTTTATATCACCCCCAGCACTAAGTCATCTGCTTCATCAGTTATGCTCATGGCCTGTGGCCTCCACCTGGAAAACATGTCCTACAAGGGCAGGGCTTTGCATCTCTTTCGTCCTTTCTGTATCCTCAGCACCTGCAATGTGACTGGCATATGGTATGTGCTCAGTAACTATCAAACGATCAATTAAAAATCTGGATGTTTTACAAAGATTTAAATTTCCAATTTTTTTCAAATTTTCTTTTAAAAATGGGAAGGCCTGATACCCAGGCTGTAGAAATGGGAAAACATGATAAAAATAAAACAGACAAAGAAAAAAAAAAAGGAAGGAAGACACGGCTACAATTGGCAGGAGCTGAGCGGGTCTGTCACAGGGCCCCCCTCCTACTCCCCATTGTCTTGCCTAGACCCCTTTTCTCATATACGTCCCCTGCATAAGCCTAGAAGGCCTTAGGGTTTGGGATTCCTAGTCTACAGAAACGAGTGAAAACCACCTTGAGAAAACTCTCTCTGGCCATAAACTCTGTTCTTCAGCGGAGGAGACCAGCCACGGTTGCTGTGAAGGCCATGGCTGGGTGACGATGAGACGTGCAGAGAAATCCCAGGGCTGAGTGTGTGCGTTTGGGGGTGTGGGGGAGGATGGCTGTCCTTCCTCTACCTGAGCCTATTCTCTGGGTTTGACACAGGCGCATTTTCTGTTTGATTCTCCAAGAGTCTGTGACGCTCCAAGGCTACTAGCCTCTGTTCCCAGATTTCTGCATGTTCTCACCATATCCATGTGAGATCATTTTCATCATCTCATGGATGGGGAAACTGAGGCCCAGAGAGGGCAAGATCACACAGTGGTGGGGCTCATTTTGCTCCTGAGTGGGGGGTCACCAGGCCCTCAGGTTGTGCTGCCCCCACCGCCCAGCTCAGGCCCCACTCACCCAGGGGGTCTCCATCCACGATGCTGTACTCCACCTGCCCGTTGGGGCCCGAGTCCCGGTCATGGGCCAGGAAGGTCCACACTCTAGGCCCCGGCTGGCCCTCGGTGACATCAAACGGCCCCTCATAGTCTCGGGGGAAGGTGGGCACGTTGTCGTTGATGTCATTCACGTTCACAAGCACCTGTGATGGGGGACACGTTTAGCCGGGCCGCACCTCAGCCCGCCCTGTGCTGGGTCCGGATTCCTCATCTGGAAACTGGACCCAATAATCCTGCCTCAGGGGGCTGATGCGAGCCTCAGACGAGATGTGGACGTGGGAGCCTTTGTAAGCTGTGCACGGTTGAGTCATTGTCATTGTAGAAGCCTTTTTATGGGAATACTCATATTTTGATAATGATGCTCTGAATTTCTACTTATTGCTACACTACAGCCATTTTACATGGTCTCATTTGCTCCCACACACTGCAATCGCTTTTATTTTCCGATCTCACAGAGAAGGAAAGTGAAGCTCAGGTTGGTTAAGCGACTTGCCCAGAGCCACACAGCTAAGAAATGCAAGATCAGGGATATGAATCCTGCTGGTCTGACCAGAGCTTGTGCTCTCCCCATGAAGGGGAGGAAGGAAGGTATCAGCATCTATCTGATAGATGCAACCACTCAGAGAGGTTCATTAACTTCCTCAAAGACACACAGCAAGTTTGGGTGGGCTGCCGAGACCAGGACAGGGCTCTTGGATTTAGGTGCTTCTCCTAGATAACCTTTCCCTACCCCTCTTCCCATCTGAGCTTTCTGGGCTCCATTTCCTCTCACCCCCAAGTTGGGGCTGTGTCCTACCGTGGTGGTGGAGGTGAGGCGGCGGGACAAGATGGGGCACTGGTCTGTGGCTGTGACGATCAGGGTGTAGCGGCCATGGCAGATCTCATAGTCCAGCTCCTTGGCAGCACGGATGACACCCTGGGGGATACATAGAGGGAACGAGGGTGGAGCGATGGGTAGTGAGTCTAGGCCACCCTGGGGACCAGCTCCTTCATGGGGTACTCTGTGACTACCCCAGCAGGGCGGCATCCTGGCCCTGATGGGAAACCCTTGTTGCCACCCAGCCCAGGGTTTCCATTTTCCCGCAATGGCTGCCCCACACACCCCAGTTTCCCTCCCAGACTCCATCTTTGCTGGGCCCCCACCCCATGATGTCACTGAGCTCCCTCCCCTCCAATCCCTTTAGCCAGGTGACCCTCTTCTTAGACCCCGCCATCAGCTGCTGACCGTGTGTCTGTCAATATGGAAAGTATCGATGATGTTGCCTGCAATGATGGCGTAGGTCACTGTGCCATTGGGCCCCTCGTCCAGGTCAAGCGCCTGGATGGTGACGAGGCTGGCATTGATCGTGTCCGGCCCCTCATCCAGCAAGATCTCGTAGTGGGGCTGCTGGAACACAGGTGCGTTATCGTTCTCGTCCACGATGGTCACGTACACGTGAGTTGTGGCCTGCGGAGAAGAACGTGGTAGGTTCCTTGGTCAGCGGACTGGAGAGGTTGAGGTGGAGCCAGCTGCATGTTCCTCCAGGCTGCACTCACTCAGGGAGAGGGAGAAGGACGAGAGGGAGGGCAGGCACAGGCTGGTAGAGAAGGCACTCACACAAAAGCCATCTAGGTAACCGCTTAGGTATAAGACGCTACTTGCACCACCACCTCTCTGTCCATGTCCACTGCAGACATTACTAATCAATCATGGCACTTCTTAGGCCAGATGTAACCTCAGGATCCTTGTCAGTTCAGAGACCTGGTGATTAAAACTGGCATATAAGAGACCTGGCCCTTGTGGCTCAGTTGGTTGAGCGTCGTCCCATGTACTAAGACAGTGGTTCTCAACCTTCCTAATGTCGCAAACCTTTAATACAGTTCCTCATGTTGTGGTGACCCCCAATTTCATTGTTACAAATTGAACATAATTAAAGCATAGTGATTAATCACAAAACAATATGTAATTATATGTGTGTTTTCTGATAGTCTTAGGCGACCCCTGTGAAAGGGTCGTTTGACCCCCAAAGGGGTCGCAACCCACAGGTTGAGAACCGCTGTACTAAGAGGTTGCCTGTTCAATTCCTGGTGAGGGCACATGCCCGGGTTGTGGGCTCAATCCCCAATAGGGGGCATGCAGGAGGCAGCCAATTGATGTTTCTTTCTCATTCATCTCTCTGTCTCTCTCTGTCAATAAAGAAACATTAAAAAAAATAAAATTGGCTTCTAAGATGAACCCCAGTAACCACCCCGAGCCCATAGCTTTTCCTGGGCCAGGGCTTTACTGACCCTGAACCTCCACCTGGATTACAAAAGGCAAGTAGGCGTCACCCATGCTCCTGTAAATGCAAGAAATGCCGACCTTCAGCATTTTGAAGGAGGACGACACTGGGTGTCGGGCGATTCCACGGGCAGAATTTGTTGAGCTGTGAGAAACAAAGCTCCCAGAACACGCTTCGCTGCAAGAACAGTTTCTGCCGCGTGCTCTCCTGCGACTGGCCGTTGTTGGCCGATGCTTGGACCACATGTACTAGGTAGACACCTGGAGCTCGGCGCTCAGCACCACGGAGCAATGGTTGATGCGGCACCCCACGAGCAGAGAAGGTACATGGAGACAGAGGTTAGCCACGTGCTGGCATCTCTGCTCCTCACCCCGTCCCCTCTCCATTCTGCTTCTCCACCTGGGAGGATGGCCCTGTGGACTGCCTCACCTGGGCTCCCTTGCCATCTGCTTCCAGATGGGTTGGGCCGATGGGAGGTCCTGGCAGAAGATGTGGGGAGGGAGGAGAGAGAGATGGGGTGTTTCTCCCCCACTCCTTCCTTTCCTCGCTCTAGTTCCACCAGTGGCTGTGTTTCTCCTGCGGGGCGGCCCCCTTCACAGCTCCAGCTCTCACTGGGCTCCAGTCACCTCACCTCCTCTTGCCCTGTGGCTCTGTGAGAGGTAAGGGCTTCCAGCAGCTGCTGGTCTGAGGGGCGTCACCCGCTCTGTAACAGGCCTTCTATTAAACTACCTTCAGTTGAGCCCTGAGTGGCTCATCTCTTTACTACCAGGACCCTGACTAATACAAACCATTCTGTCAGCACAACACTGCCACCTTGCAGGAAAGGGCCGGATCCCAGCCTCAGCCATGGTTCCCCACTTTCCCAGACTCCGGGAAGCGAGTCTAACAATCTGCAGGGGCTGGGAGTGGCGCGTCTAACGGGGCTGCCCACCAGCCTCTTTGCTCTGAGATCAGCCTGAGCTTGGGAGGGGAGGGGGTCTGATTCCCTCTAGTCTCACGAGGAGGAAGTTAATGCCCCGAAGGCCCTTTCAGATGAGCCCTTCCTGCCTTGGCATTGAGAAAACAGTGCTTCAGGTTTCTGGACCATGTCCACACCTTGGGCAATGCCCTGGGTCTCACCCCGCTGCAAACCAGGAAGCTCAGCTGGTGGAAGTGTGGGGAGGAAGGAAGTGGAGGAGAGCATCATGGGTAGCTATGCTCAGGTGTTCTAGCCCTCTGGGGGGGTGGGCTTGGGAGGGCATTGCTCCCCTCCCCATAGTTCCAGGCTCCCCTCACCCACCTCCTAGGCCCTGAGGCAGAGGGAGTCTGCTTTCAAGGGTGGTTTGGGCAAGCCCAGGCCAGGAAGAAATGGAGGGGTTGGGGGCAGGTGCTTCAGGGTCCCACACTTGAAGGACCCCACCTCTGCCAGAGGATGGCCAGGGCGGGAAGAGGGCTCAGGACCCACCTGATTTCAATGGGCTTGGTACCTTCTCTGGGTGGAAGAGCTCACCCTCTGCCAGCAGGAAGGGCCCTGGGCTGTCTCCTGGAGTGGAGTCGTAAGATCAGGTCCATGATCAAGGACCTGCTTGTGTGCTGGCAATCTCTGGGCCTTCCATAGCAGGGAGATTATCAGTCCAGGGGGACTAGGCCTGCACAGGTCACCTAGTAACAGCACGACACCCACCTTCCTCTGTTGTAGCCTTTCCTGCCCCGGGAGCGAGGGCTGAGAGCCCTCAGAGAGCCTCTGACTCGGATCAGGGCGCCCAGAATTCCCGGCTACTCTTGAGTCCCACTACCATGATTCCCGACCCAGGTGGGCTCTGTCCCTCAGCCCGGGAGTTGCCTGGGAGCTCGAGATCCCCAATGAGCCAGCAGCGCTCCTGGGAGCTTCAGCCAGGCTGGGTAAACTGGTATAATGGCTGTGCCCTCCCGCTCTTTCAATCCCTGGCCCTAGCCACTGCCACCGCCACTCTCCACTTAGAAACTCACTTACTCACTTAATCGTCACTTTAAACCCCTTCTCCATGCCCAGTTTTGTGCCAGGGACTCAGGAACATTGAGGAGAAGCCTTCGCCTCCAAACAGCTCATGGTCTAGCTCAGAGGGCAGATGAGCCCCGATGAAATCAACTGGTTGGTGACCCCAGGCCGGGTGTGATGGCTGAAGGGTGTGGCTATAAGGACAGAAGGGGGACCCTCAGGAGAAGGTCAGAGCACTTTGTGAAGGGGAAGGACTTGAGCCGAGCCCTGAGGGACGAGAGGACTTTGGAGGAGAGGAGAGAGATGCTGCCAGTGGTGCCGGTGTGCTGAGTGGGGTGCGACAGCAGGGCACTAGCAGTGGGGTGTGCGCGTGCCCCGAGGACGCCCAGGCACAGGAGTGGGATGGTGCGAAGTGGGAGGGGAAGTTGAGGTCTCGGGGGAGAGGGCACTGGTGATTTTCTATGGGACACAAGACCAGATATTGTGCACACACTACCTGTGTCCCAGTGCAGGGATGTGCCAAGCCTGTTGTGTTCCTGCACCTGTGCCCCACCTATGTTCAGTGTGCATGTGCACAGGGTGCAAGCTCTGGAATCTATAGTCAAGTCTACACCAAAGTTAGATTTTGTTTTTTCCCCCCATTCATTCCTCAACTGGGAGTGCCTACCACAAACCAGGCCCCGGGCTGGGTTGTAAGAGGTAGGGTACAAGCCCCTGCCCCCCCAGCAACTCAAAGGCTGGTGTGTAAGGGCAGACAATCCATCATGCTTAAGTATCATGCTAAGTTACACACAGAGACACTTCTCAGGCGGTGCAACAATGCAATCTTCTCCAAAGAGGAATGGGGGCGAGTACACAGGCTTAAAACTGATCAGGGGGAGCTGACTTGCGGGGACACTGGCTGGCTCTCCTATGGTGCAAGTCAGCTCGAAGCCCCGCCCACGGGGCACTAGGAGCAGTGCCTCCCATGGCCTCCTGGGGGCGCTGCGTGGGGCGAGGGGGCGGAACAGGCGGCTCTCAGGCGCTGGCTGCTTTCACTTGCTACTCCAGGCACTCACTTCACTCACTCGCCGGGAGGGTGTCTGCCCTGCAAACCAAGAGTTCGCCCCAGGCGCCGCTCAGCCCAGCCGTCCCAGCCGCTCCACCCGGCCCGACCGACGGTGACATGGGCTTCCCCCCAGTCCCGGAGGCCTGCGGCCGGCGCTGGGGGCCTGTGCTCCTCGCTCTCTTCCTGGCTGCTTCCCGAGGTAAGGTTCACAGAGCCTGGGCACTGGGGCAGAGCATGGGGAGAAGTCAGCGGGTGGGGTGAGTGGGTCGCAGGCCAGATGGGGTACCCTGGGAGCCCCCTTCAGCCTGCTGGACACCCTCCCTCCTCTCCCCCCAGGCAGGGAGGCTACTGGGACTGCTTGGCAGGGGGGCAGCGGTGTCTCTGCCAAGTGCCCTGGCTGGGTGGTGGGCACATCTCTATGCTCTGACGGCCGCTCAAGCAGCTGCGGATCCAACTTCCCTGCCCAGGGTGAGAGGAGCTTCTGCAGGACAGGAGATGGGCGCTGTGAGAACAGCCCCGCGAGTTCTAGGGGTGCCACTGGCTTTGACACCTGTGGCATCTCCCTGCCGCTCCGCCCCGGGGTTCCAGGATCTCACAGGGGGCAGGGGGTGTGGTACTCGCAGCCCATGCCCTGTGCCCTGGCGACACTCCTGGCTCAGCCTTGCTGGGCACTGGTCAGTGTGGTCCCGGGTCCACTCTCAGATGTGGGCGCCTATCTTGTCCTTATCCTGAGGGTCTGATGGCTGAGAGCTGAGTGGTCAGCTGATTACTGGCATCCAGAGAGGCTGAGCTCAGGGACCACATGGGGCACGTTCCCAGCTCGGCCAGGAGTGCCTTCTGGGTCCTTAGATAACTTATGGCATCTTTCTGGCCTTGGTTTCCTCAGCTAAAACACAAGGAGGTGCCACTTTCCTCTTTCAAACTGTCGCAGCTCCAGGTGATGTCCTGGCCAGGACACAGGAGCTCCTGGGGGAGGGCAGAGGCCCTAGGACCCGCAGCCTGGCCTCCGGTTCTTGCCTGCCCAGAACTGAAGAGGCTGGATCTCCAGGGCAGAGAGCAGCCTGTGGAACTAAACTTTATGGAGAGGGCCAGGGAAAGAGTGAGTCATGCAAGGAGTCAGAGGGAGGCAGGAGGAGGCAGGGAGCTTGGCACAGAGGCCTCATGGGTGGGTCAGAAGAAGA